TACAGAGTAACATAAACTAGAATACAGCCAATCTGTGTTTACACAGTCAACTGTGTGTGACTTCATTCTGTGGTGGTAGGTGCTATATAAGTGTGCAAGTGTGCAAATTACACATGTCCTAATTCATGGGGGCAGGGGTGGGAGAGGGATGGCTGAACTTTAAGTTAGTTACCCGAAAACCAGCAGGGGATCAGTATGCTAATAGATTATGTAATAGATGAACGATTCAAACGCAATGTCAATGGCTGTAAAACCCCTTCAGTGCTGTCTGGGGTGTAATGGTGGCAGACATGGTTATTAGAAAAAGGTCTGAAAAGCAAATCTAGGTACAAAATGGTTCAGTGTGTTTAGCCCTGTTCATTCAGTGAAAAAAGTTGCTTATTAATTATTTACTTAATTGAAATTGAACCTTGCTGAAATTAGTGACAAGGTTACAAAGTGGCACAGTGGGGGAGGGGGGTGTGTGGGAATGATGATTTTGATATGACCTCATCTCTTTTAAAAGCAGACTTCCCAAGTGCAACTGGTCTGGCCTTAGGGGGGCATGTCGCTTTAAATGAAACGGGAGAGAAAAGCTGCCGGAATCACAATGACGAAGCTTAAGGGATCCAGGGAGTAAAATGCAGGCGTTTAATCTGCGATCAATCCGTCGGTTTTTAACACTGGAGGAGGGTTTGGCTTATTGATTAGCTGCTAACCTTCTGATGCAATACCATGTCTGTCAGCTGCAACACAGCACCACAACTCAACAAAAGTCCCGATGATAGCCAGCTGCAGTTGGTACATTCAGAAAGGACAAATGAATGGAAGGAATCCAGGATGAAGAGGCAGCCAAAAAAGCACAGCATTACACTGAAAGACTGTCAACAAAGTATATGATCCAATACAGCTAGTGAAGGACAATCAGACGGCTCTGTACTGAGGCCTGAGTGCCAATATCTACACAGACTGACAACTGCAGCATAAAGGAACTGCTATTTCAGTTTGGGTTTTGAAAGATGGCCCGAATACAAGTAAAAGTTTAATTCACAGCGTGGAAAGAAAAAAAGAAAGGACAACTGCAGAGTTAAATGGCATCCAATTATCAATGCCAGTGCCTGCAGTTGCCTGATCAATGTTCTCTAGAGGGAAACACTAACCCTTTTTGTAGGTCCACAATGGCTGTAACTCCGTGTATTATTTTTTAAAAAAATACACTTACTTCTGTTTTCTTTTGAATGATGTTCCACATAAAAAGTCATTATTTTCTTATCTGATATTTTCTAAATACAGATTATGTAGGGCTGGTGGTTAAGCAAGTGAGTATTACCTAGGAAAAGGCAATTCATATGAAATAAAAAATTTTTTAATTCCTTTTCTGTAAACGTTCTGAGAATTCTGCTTTGAGCCCCCGACGCTGCTACATCTTTGGGCATTTTACTGTATTTTCTGTGCATGATGAAAAGGCAACCTGGAAACAGCCTTTACATATTGTTTAAAGATGATACATATATTTTGTTTTTTTTAACAAAAATGCCAATTTAAATCCACTGAAGCCTACACATAGTATTTATGAACCAAACAATATAGAATTCAAAACTATTACATAAATAATAGTCCTTGCATTTGATATAACGCCTTATCACATTGAAATGTGTCAAACCAGCAGCCAAAGTAGACACAGCAATGACCTACAAACCATGAAGTCAATGACTATATTTTTAATTTAGCGATTGTTTTGTATTGTTGGTCAAAATACTGGAAAGAATTCCCCTCACTTTTCAAATAGATCCTCTCCTGCACCTCATCTCACCAAGCATGTTTAATTTTTCCATATAGTACCCCTTAGAGAGTGGGTAGATTATACTACTCACACTATACACGTTAATGGCTCTGGAACTCTATTCCCCAGTGCCTTCGCCGCCTCCTCCCTTTCCTCCTTCAAGGCCGGTCTCAAGACCTTTCTCTTTGACCGTGCATTCAGCTCCCCTTTCGACTCTATTCCCCCTCCTCGCTCCCTCCCTTCCCCTCACCCTGACCATTTCCCCCCTGCTCGGGTCCTGACCCAACTGTACAGCGCCTTGGGACGTCCTCCCGACGTGAAAGACGCTCTATAAATGGAATCTTGTTGTTGTTGCTGTTGTAATGCCTCTAAATTCAAAATAGATGATCTTAAAATATAGATACAACATACTTTGAGAAACAAAGCTTCATTACTCATGGACAACTGGAACATTATCAAATGCAAAGATTATTTATACTGTAGCATTACGTTTTTATTGCTTCTCTTAACACAATACATGAATTCTCCACAGGGAGCCCATATTTGTTAAATCTACACTGACGTAGAGGCTAGCAGTAGCTTTGCACACATAAAAGCATAAAGGCAATTCTTATATTTTATAGTCCAAAAATACTCCTAATTCAGCTTGTACTTTGGTTATGTAAATTCCCCTGGTTCTACTTTACAAAATATTCACATTTAATAACTTTGAAAATCTTTTACCAAACACCAAATCGATGATTAATTTTCACTCAGGTTACCTGCGTAACTCGTTCAAGCTTCAATTATTTAGGTCAGTAATTGTTGATTTTTCTTATAATTTCCAAAGTACATCTGATTTGTGGTATTTCTTAATAGGATCCTAAATTCCGGAAGACAAGAAGGAAATCCGACCTAAAATTAGATTGCATCTGAGTGGAGATCCATGTGAGTCGTCAAGATACAGCTCCAATCCATGGAGCCACAACAATAACTTGCACTTACATTGTGCCTTTCCCATAGGAAAACATCACGAAGCACTTCACAGAGACGGAATGGGATCTCAAGTGGAGCGGAGAACGAACCTCCATTTGCAAAAATCCGGATTTCTTATTGAGGAATCCCATCAAGAAAGATCGCAAATTCATCAAGGCAAAATCTTTATAAATCATGTTCCACTTAATTAAATAAATATTCTTTCCAATTTTTTCAGATAAGTATTAACCCAAGATAATGTTCCACGGGAGCTAAGCACTCTGACAACAGCAGAAGCACCTAATCTAGTTGAACAGAGATTGTTCTACTATCTGTTCCACTAGCAATCGTGTTCTAGATTTTTTTGACATTATAAATGGCACGTTGAAAATGCTGAGCAATATTTACATGAACACATAGCGATGATTAATGCTGAGAATGAGAAGTTACAATTATCAACACGCTTATCAACAACTTTGATACTGAAGTAAACTGCAACGTTGAACAAAACGCTGATAAAGAACTTGTTTTCAAAAAAAATTGGATGTGCATTTTAATATATTTACTTTACTGCAAGGTAGCATTCCTGTAGAGTCATTCTGACAATGACAGTGCTCAGATGTCTTGCCCTCTAGATGTAATCCCATACCTCCATCCCCTTTCTCCTTGAGAAGAGGACAGAACTGAATGAAACCTTTCCCCTCAGCAACTGTCAACTGCAGCTTTCTACTAAAAGCTGCAAATAGTATTGAAATGCTAACAGGTTCATTGTCAACGCAGTTTGCCAAACTAGCTCCCAGACATCTGTCACTGAATGCAACAGCATTTATCTTTTAATGGTAACGGAGTCTGTTTTAACAAGACATGATTTTGTTTCAAAAAAAATATGATGACAAGATCAGTACATTTGTACAAACAACGGGAGATGTATCATTGACACTGAACTTTTTATATTAAGATCTATGTATTGAATATGCTATACACTGTTCAAATCTGCACAGTGGAGCACAGTACAAAAGGTGGTGATGATAACCTTCAGACAAAGGTTATTGCAATGAAACTGTATCATTTTGCATATTCCATAGGAAACAGGAGATTTTTGTAAGCAGGAACACAACAAGAACGCATCCCATCTCCTTTGGACAGTTGCACATTCTTACCTCATTGGCAATTTTGGTTATCTTTAAAAGGGAAGTCTTGCAATGAAACACCAGCCATGTTCAGAAATGAAGCAGGGCGAGGTAACTACAGCTATGACAGAAGATCCCATTTATCTAATTTACCCTCCCAAGAAAAAATAGGGTCTCCTAAATAGAATTACAAGGTAAAAAGTGAGGCAGGGATGAAAAGGCCTGCTTTAAGCCATATTCTTAAACAGTGAAATGGCATAAAAGATGTAAACAGTGAATAGTGGCCTATCCTTCCAGTAAATGTTCCCACTCATCATGAACCACCATTCATTTCATAGAGTCCCTATTATGGGAAATATGGTATCCTGACAATAAGCAGGGAAGAGAGGAAATAAAAATGGAATTTGTTAAGGGACAAAAATGATAAATAATTAAATAACATTGTCTATTGGGTACAAATGAGAGGGGAAATCCTTGTTCCTTACCGTCCATCCATCCCAAATACACAACAAGAAGTTGTAGCAAAATTTACTTTTTTTAAAAAACGTTGCTTGTGGTTACAATATATCCTGACCATACCGTAGCTGAAATATTTCTCTTGAAAGAAGCAGATTTTGCTTGTGTGCAAGTCATATCCTTCCCTTAACTGTGAGACAGTTGAAAAATTCTAATTGCGATTATTTAATCAAATATTGGCAACTCTGTCCTCACAAAAATTGCACAAATAGTTTACATTGACACACAATGTGAAATAACGCATTGGGTTTTTGTTCAATAGAAAGCTCTAATATCTGTGTGTCAGACTGACTGATTCACTGTCCAGTCCATTTAGTAGTGTGGATAGCAAATTCATGTCACTGTAATAAGGTTGGCTTGGGCTATGCAAACTGTGTGCAATTGCTTCCCCATCTGTCTCCAGTCCAAAAAACATATGAATGACAGATCCCTCTGTGTCTAACACCTTGATCCAGTTGGTATTTCCTAGAAGCTGCCTGCAGCCACAACAGCCTCATTCATAACATGAAGCCTGAGTCTCTGCTTTGCTGATGTCACAGTCAGGGTAAGAAGGTGGCCTGACATGGCCATAAGGCATAGTATTCCTCAAATGTGAAAGAAAACCGTAAAAGGCAACAGATGAGTCATACTGTACTTACAGTTTTCAGACTGGAAGTCTGGCACAAACTGTTCATCATTGTCAGGGACCTGAGCTGTTGAGAAAAGAAAATAAAACGTAAAGAGATGGAATTTTAACAAAATAATTTGATGTTTCAATGGCAAACTTTTTTTCACAGAAACAAAAAGCTGTTTTTATTTTTGAATAACTAGCTGCTGACTAGCTGGATATTCAATGCACCAAGACTGCCTGTTAGGGCAGCAGTGTCTCAATAACGAAAAGTATTGCATTAAATAACACTCAATGTGTGAGGTGCTTTCAGATGTTTTGACATGTTAAGATGCTTTATCAAATACACCCTTGTTATGTAAGAAAATGCCTTTGACCACATAAAATCCAACTTTTAATATGTTTAGTGTAGAAATGTTGGTTTTCCTAGCGAAAGAATCATCACAAGTGTCATTTGTAAACTTACACAGAGGATTGATTTAACTAACGGATTCAAATTGCATTAGAAATGATACTGTAAATATAACCTGAAGCCGTAAGGAAGAAACACAGCCTATAACTAATCTCATGCATTAATGTGCGACTTTGCGCAATACAAGTCAAGAGGCTGTGAAACAGGGAGGGTTATAAAGGGCAAATTATTTTGATTTTCTTGTCACTTTCAGTGGGGCTCATTATACATGGACTACGGGATCGAGATTATAACACAGGACCCCAGCTACTGATACTTACTGCAACATTCAACTTAGGAGACAGCATTCGGTGGCAGATATATTGATACACCGAGGTCGATTTTCGGCAACAGTTTACTAGCTTGATGGTTGATTCGTAAATATTAGCGTTGTAAAAAAAAATGGAAAACATGAAGCCAGTTATGGGCTTTGAACCTGTGTGACGAAGCTCAAAAGGAGAGGGGTTTAAAAAAAAAATACTGTATTTACTGTATAAAAGGATGAAGGGACATGAAACCCACCCTTTTGGGACACAATGATACTCCGTATGGATGTTAACAAGTAGTGTAAAAAGACTATCACATGTAATTCTGAGTATGCTGCAGAAGAACCTTAAAATAAGCCACAATCCACACTAATTCCCAAACTTTGTGGATTGTAGCCAAGCCATGTCACATACAAAAATACAATACAAAATTACATTTGTATAGAATCTATGTAGCAGAAATGTAAAGTTCTGCTGCATAGGTGGGATTTTTTCCAGTTTCCATTTATTGGAACTGGTCAAAATTGCCATTTGAAAGGAAATAGTAATAATAATAATAATTGTGTTTGGTCTAGCGCCTTTCATGTTGGGAGAAGGCCTCAAAGCACTTTACAGGATTTTACTGTGGATTGTAGTGACTGAGTATTTTGCAAGAAAACGTGGCAGCCAAATTGCACATAGCAATATTCCACAAACAGTAATGAAATTAATGACAATTTTTCATTTTAGGCAATTGTTGGCCAGGATACCAGAAGAAATTCCCTTCTCTAAAGATGGGGAAGATTAATGGGAGCTGCTGCTCCATTATCATCTCTTTGAGGGTATACATAAAGTCGTAATAAGGGGTATACAAACAGCAGACTTAGAACCAGTTCTAAATATCTAGCCATTTTGTGTAGCATCGCTGAAAAGTCCAATAGCATCTCATATTCGCAAACCCTTCAAAGTCTTAATTCCACACTAATGGTTTATGTTGCGGATTCTCAAGCAATACGAAGATTCACATATTGCAATATGTGCAATAATATACATTCCTCAGTGGATTGAACAATATGTTTAAGGATATCAGCAGCAAATGCCGCTAAAATGAGGAAAAGTTGGGAAACTCAGACAGACCATCACTGAGATTCCCCATTAACTTAATGAAATTTAATTGTGCTCCTGTGTCTTGCATTAATTTTAGTCATTCAGACCAATATCACAGAGGGGCAAAATAAGCAGCTAAACATATTGTAAGTAATGATTCTATCTTAAAGTGAATATGTGTTCTTTCTTGAATGGATTGATTTTTAAGCCGTGTAAATTTAGTTCAATAGTAGATTCTATAATGCTTCAAATGTTTTTTAAAAAATTCCTGACTTTTACAGAACCTGTGCACAGACAAAATGCTAAATAATTTATGGGAATGCAGCATTCAGTGTGAGAGCACAAATTTAGTCACGGATTAATGCATAAGTGGTTCAATATGGCTGTTTTGGTCAAATTATCTGCATACAAATACGGTTACTACATTTTACAGTAAATTCTGTGAAGCGTATTGAGAAATCTTGCCGATATCTTCCCGGTATTGAGAAATCTTCCTGCCTTTCACGTCGGACGTCCTCCCGATGTGAAAGGCGTTCTATAAATGTAATTTTGTTGTTGTTGAGATGAAAAGGCGCTATATCAAAAGTGCAAGGGTTATTATCAGGTATCATTAATAATGATAAAATATGGCCTTCAGATCCAGGTTCGGACCTAATATTTGGGGGGAAAAACTTGAAGACAAACAAGAGTGATTCTACACTCGTCAGTACATTTACTGACATTACCACTGTGTATTACAACATGAAATTTACAATTCTAACCACGCGGATTTAATTCACAGGTACTTGCATATACAAAAAAAAGGAATCTTACAGTAACTCATCGGAATATGTCTTGGACACCAATCTCATTATGACATTCTATGAAGTGAAACACGGGTGTATTTGCGGCTAAAGGAGTCTGGCAACAATCAGCAGTGATCGAAGTCGATCTAGTCAGTCAGTATGAGAACGCTATTTACTGAAGGATTCAACAGTTACAAATCCTTTAGTCCATTACTAAAAAGTTTGATGCCTAGACTGATAAATTAATGTTGTTAGGCGTTTGCTTATAGAACTGCAAATTTGTACTATCATTTCTTTTTGAAAAATTCATAGAAATACTGGAATATTTTCAACATCAAAGACTGTACACATTTTTGCAACCATTATACACTGGATTAGCCCAGGGTCTGGTTCAATTGAAAATTTTTAATAAGCGCAGAGTACTTAATATGAATAGCCCTCCTTGCTTTGAATAAATGGTTGTTGCTTCATCTATTGCACTGATGTCTATAAAATTGAAATAAGATAGGAGAGAATATGTCACCGCTTAAGATTTTTTTTGTTGCCAATTTACACCACTTTTTCTCTCCTACTGAAGGTGGCGAATCATGCTGGGATACTGTTCCACGGGTGCCGGCTGCCCTCCATTACCCTGCCAAAATGGGTGAGCCTAGATAGCAAGCATTGGCACGCTGTTTGACTGTGAAATCCATCACAGCCAATATCCACGCACAGTTTACAGCACGGTCACAGGGTAGAGATCAGGAACAGGAATACAGGCTAAATTATATCTTCCTTTAGCCCAGTGGCATAAGACCAATTGTAAAGCTTCTATTGCCATTCCAGCTAAAATCAGATAACTCAGCAATGACCAAGATTCAAGACTATATCCATGCGGTTTCTATGGCTTAATGCTACTCCGAGTTGTGTCTTTGCCCATTCCACCATGATTGAACCCTCGTGCAACCCCAATTATATGAATGTCAGCAGAATTTCAACAGACAAATAACACAGAAAATGTTCCAAGATTTAAATCCATTCGGAACAACGCTACGAATTATGAAATGGTTTACAGAATTCTCTCTAATTATATTTTATACAATTCAGGGCTGCCATATCATTGAAAGTAACTTTTTAAAGCGATGTTACCAATGCTGTTGCACAAATAAAGCCCATTTACTCTTTTAGTTTTGAGTAAGTTAAATGCTTTAAATGCTCAAAAAAAACTAGCACGATTTACGCATCAACTTTAAAAAGGACGTGGAGCGAAAATTAAACCCGTGTTCATTAAATCTGGCTGAACCAAAAACAAACTTCAATCATATCTGTTCAGGTTAGTTTGCGGAAGGAAAATTCTATATCAAAAAAACTGAAACCCTAAATGGACAGATCAGTTTGTGGAGTTTCTTTTAATTACAAATTTACCAACCAATATACAGTCACCACACTTCACAGTAAATCCTGTGAACAGCTTTGAGACATCCTCCCAATGTGAAAGATGCTGGATCAGATTATTATTGCTCAAATGAGCTTATACACATTTCAGCGATTTAGGACTTGGTTTACTCTTGTCTTGTCAATCTTGTGAAATCATAGGTGAAAACTTAACACAGTGCTGGTGTGCTGAATACCCATTCAGTGCCGCAATAAGGGCAGTTTTCACACAATTACAGCCAGTTGAAAACAATAAATGGCAATGACTGCAATTGGATGTGCAAAAATGATCTTGTTAACTCCCTACAGATTAAATCAAGCAGGAAAGGGTTAATTGAAGCTTGTGCCAACTGGTATCTCTGTTTAAAAGGAGAAAGGAGTAATTTGAATAAATGGAAAACACACCATAAAGGTTATGAATCTACAAATGTGCACAGGGAGCAATTTAACAGTCAAATTTTAAGAAAAACAATCTGTGAGTCATTCGCACTGACAGTGAGCGAGTGAGTGAGCGAGCGAGCAAACTGATCCTCACAACAATTACACAGTCAAAGCTAAGCCCCACCTCCCTTAAAAAAATGGCCACTCTCAAGTCCGTGGTCAAACCACAAAGACCACGTCACACCCTTTAGACTGAGGTGGAGGAAGAAAAAGGGAAGTAAACTTGAACTATCTGTGTAAACATGAACTCACCATTTTACATTTATTTACCTTGAACAATCACCCTCTGTAGCAATTACATACTTGCTTAGGCCTATCAGAACTTTGCATCATGCGCTCCATAAACTATTTGAAAAAGTACTGTTGAAAAATAAAAAAACTATCTTTGTGCGTGTGAAAAAAGTGCAGCGTTGCGACCCACTATGTTGTGAGCCTGGTGAATATTCAAATAATTGAAAGTGGTTATTTGTATAATAGATTTTGCAGATCAGAGGTTCGCCTCGGAATCAGATAGCTCATAGTTGAATCACAACCATATGTGAATTTGGTCGTTCAGTAAGGACATGGTTTGACAGTTCTAACCCAAGGTGTAACTCAGTGACAATACAAGAATCGATATTTTTAAAACATTTATGTTGGTGAATTTTTGGGCTCACCGAGGTGTCAGCTATCGGTGTTCAGAAACAGCTTCTAAGTTTTTTTTAATAGTACTCCTAAATAAAAGCCAATGTATTGGTAACTTTGTGCTATGGGACTATACGACCACAAGAAACTGATTTCAAACTATATATTTACATCCTGTACAACTCTTCTTGTAACTAGCAGAACATAGAAACTTTCATTCATTCAGTCTGAGTTGCATTCAATCCCAGGTCTCCCATAAAAGCATCAGTCAGACACTTTCTGTAAAGCACTTAAGCATATCTTCTGGTCAGCTGATACAAAATGGAAATTGATAGCAGGAGTAGAGAGTGCATGGTACAATCTGTCCTGATATAACTGGCTGAAGGAAGACAGTGTAGAGATGGGAAAACAACCAGAAGGTGAGATTTTTCATTTGTTTTTAAAACAAAGTACAACATTACTAAAATGATTCAGAAGTAGTGGAATTTGTCTTAGTTTTGTTACTGTTATTTGCCAGGAACCAATAAATGGACCATTTATACCAATGCACACGGCTATGCTAAACTCAAACACAGATCACATGAATTCCTAAGGAGATAGGTTATTTTTCAGCAGTGAAACTTACAATTCCCCTTCTCTTCCCCACAAAAACACACTTTCTAAAGTTTCCACAACATTTTTTCCAAATAAACATCTGCGCATTTTACAAAAGGAAGCAAACAATGGAGAAGTCACATATGGTTCTCTTTTCTTACAATAATGGTACAAGTTCTCACATGATCTCAACTGTTTCTTTTGGTTGTTCTTAAAATGGATTTATTCCTTGGGCTGTGCAAAATTCATGCCCCGGTTCTCAAATTATTGTGCATATTTAGTTACTTCCTATCTATCTCCAGTACAGTGATCCATGGCAATCCCTGCACTGTTTACTAACTTTACTTGAAGAACAAATAGTGCACAGATAACATTACATATTAGGAATATGATATTCAGAAATACAGATACTTTCTAAATCGAATCTGTTGGAAGGGCAGGTTGTAGAAAGCAATGAGTATTAAACAGTGTCAGTGTTAAAACAATGATAATTTTCTTATCGAAACAAATCATACCTCCCACAATATCTGCATTCCATTACAGCCTTGTCAACAAAACAAATTTTAATCTTGATTTTTAATACTTTGTATAAACATAGATAACATGATTTCCCTCCCACAATTTATTGCATTTTTTGTTGTGAAAATGGTAATTAAGAGAGCTTTCTATATAACTATTTTGAAAGTGCCTGAAATTTAGAAGAGTAAAATAAGGCTACTTCCTGCGTATTAACCATGCGATTGTCTATTCCACAACACAATTCTAGACATCATACAGTGGCAGAAATTATCCAAATCTGAATTAAAGGCAATTTGGATTTTTTTGTAGTATTTTCTTACTAAGGAAAGAAAAAGCTATCACATTCCCAGCTGCCTTAGTAACAAAAAGAAATAAACAGGAACCTTGCAAACCTATTATCTCATTTTAGTTCAGCTAAGCATTAATAAAGATTCACTTAGTACTAGAACACAGAGAGAGACAAGCTTGGCACATTTAACTTATCATTAAGATTGCGGAAATGTAATGCATTCCGCTGTTTGCAAAACTTGTGTTTTGAAATATATTAGACACTTTCAAATACCTGGTCAAGCTACACAGACCTATGGAAAGGCAGAAAAAAATGTCTATTTGAAGCAAGTCGCCTGAGCTTTTGGTACTCAAGCATTTACATGTCACTGTCCAAGTGCTGGTCGAAATAGACTTCTAAAGCTATCCATCACATTTAGTGGAAACAAATATACTTAGCAAAACAGGTCCATTAAAATTAAATGATCGCTTAACATTTAAGGTAAACATTACACTTGATTTTGTGAGAAAAAAGCAAAAATAAACTTTTTTAACTAGAGTTTGAATATTGCTGTCAGTCATTACATTTTAGAATAGTTTTCAAATATTATCATTATACCTGTGTGTGATATGCGCACATACAATGCTGCTATAAATCTTATCCCACTTGATGCCCAGCGTACATATAAGGATCAGTTTAAGCAGATCAAATAGTAAAATTAAGTTAATTTCGAACAAATGATCAATAAAACTGGAACACGCTATCGTAAGCACATAGTCTCTGCAGCAATTTGAAGTAATATTAGTACACTACACTGAAAATGGAAATAGTGGTTCAAATCATAATAAAATACAACCACAAATTGCATTCATATAACACCTTTCACATCGAGAGCTATGCAAATCATAGCTAAAACAGAAAAAAAACCAAATGAATCCTCTTATTCATTGCAACAATACTTTTATCCAATGAATAATATACACTGACTGTTACATTAGAGATACTTTTACAGCCACCTCCAAAAATAAAGCACTGATATTTCCTTACACAAAGCAGGTTGGTGCTCCTTCAATTGCACTGAAACATTTTAAAGCAGCTTTGGGCAGATCGGAAGACTTGCTCAGATCACTGCAAAAGCACTTTGAAAATATTTTCAAACTTGATCATTTTAGGTCTACCAAAACATTTGAACAAAAATAAAATGACTGGCCCATCTCTCTGTTCTTTTTTTTAAAAAAAGAGAGAAAAGCACACACAATAGTCTGAGAATACAGGTCAACTACAAACCTAAACTTCTGTGCTGTGAGCAAGCTGGATAAAAGACACTTGCACTCAAATCCTGAAGCATCCCGTCGCGATGAATCGAGGAATATAAACACTATTTGCCATCAGAAAACAACACCTAAAGAACATCAAAGCTCCTTGTTGGCACCATTCGAGCTCAAGAGACAGCCTGGTTTCTTAATAATTCACGCTCTAAAAAAAATCCTGCAGCAGTGAAAACCGATCAAGAACGACCATCGCCAGTCAAACTGGACGGTGCTTTCAAACTTCAAGTCTCGCAGGCTCGGTGCTGTAGATCGTTCCCCAAAAGCAGATGTGATTGTAAGCTGGAAGCAATTTCTCCTGGTAATCTGTGATGACACTGGGAAGATCAACCCTGAGTTCCCCAAGGCAGACTAATCACAGCCTCTAATGTATGCATGACACATGAGGTGGCTCTTTTAGAGCTCAATTAATTGGGCTTCACGTTAGGAACGCAACTTTAGGCGTTGCAATTGTCCCCCCCACCACCACCACCACCACCCCCCCATACCCAACTCACTCTCTCTCTCTCTCTCTCTCCCTCCCTCCCTCCTGCAGATTTTTTTTTGTTGTGTTGTGTCAGGGGATAGCATATTCTTACCTTCTGCAAGCCAAGTTTCCTGAAGCTGGCTCAAATCCTGAAAGAGTTCTGCAAGATAAGAGGAGTGAGAGTCATTTGCAACATGAGCAAACTATTTTCTTACACAGAACAAAAGATACGTCTTTCTCTCTGTCTCTCTCTCTCTCTCTCTCTATATATATATATATACACACACATTTTTTTTTAAAAAAAGGGCTTCTCAGCTACTTGGCATTAAAACATCCAGGAACTATGTTTCTGGTGCAATGTACAGCAATCGAATCACTGTCCTAAACCAGTCATAAAAATGAGCAGATCTAAATCGCTTGCAATCGGATTTTAAAACTCTTTCCCCCTCTGAAGCACATAACACACACACACACACACACAGGGAGAGATTTCTGGGCAGCATGTGATCCTATCAGTCCGGAATCAAACACAAGTATCATGGTATGAATGTCACAGCAGCAGATTTAAGCGGCCACTGTGGGGTGTTTAGGAGGGGTGGAGGGGGATCCCATTTGCTTATTCTGCAGCAATGCCTAAACTACAACAGATCTTAAAGAAAACAGAACCCAAGCAGGAGTAACAGATCTCCAACATGCAGCAAATTGTGCCAAAATGCCCCATAAAGCCTCCTTTATCGTTTGCAGGATAAAGGGAAAATATCATGCAGGCGGATTTGTGTTTAAAACCCTTGTCCTGAAAGGCATTAGTTGGCATATTTTTTTTCTTGTGTGTAGTCCAACTGCAAAGGAGAGATTTGGGAATACAAATACCAGTGACAGAGGAAACGTGTTTTTTATATGAATAGTCAAAGTACTAACTATAGAATCAAAGTAGTGGGTGAGGGAAAGATAAAGGGAACAGACGAAATCAAAGAGTTTTTTTTTTTGCAATGAATCTTTTTAACCTTTTTTTTTCCTCTGGGGGTTGGTGTGTGGGGTGTGTGTGGGGTGTGGTGGGGTGTGTGTGGGGGTGTGTGTGTGTGGGGGGGGTGTGTGGTGGGGGGTGTGTGTGGGGTGGTGTGGGGGGGGGGGGGTGGTGTGGGTTGGTGTGTGTGGGGGGGGGGGTGGTGTGGGGTGTGGTGTGTGTGGGGGTGTGTGGGGGTGTGTGTGTGTGTGGGGGGTGTGTGTGTGGGGGATAACGTTACCTTCCGAATCTTGAGCTAAGTCTGTGTCAATGAATTTCCTTTTCCTCTCACTTGTGGATCTTTCACTACCTTTCCCTCCTTGCGGTTTCTACAGAAAACAGAAGAGTTTGTTAAAATAAGACGCGCGCACCTGCTCCGGGAAAGCACATTAAAATAAGGCAATTTTGGGGAGGATGGATGGATGGATGGGTGGATGGGGGGGACTGAGACAGGGATGGATAAGACTCCTAACATCAACCTGTCGTGTGCAGACAACTCTATCTGCCCGGTGTCTGACCCCCACCCCACCCCAGAGCAGTAAATGTAATCGTAAAGAAACAAAAAAGTGTCCAGAGTCAGCAGTGTGGCTTTCACCCCCCAATCTCTTACAAAGTACTTGTTACTGATCAGACTGAAATGCACTGAATAGGCAGAGAGTGTGTGTGTGTGTGTGAGTGTGTGTGTGTGAGTGAGAGAGAGAGAGAAAGAGCATAAACTGCGGGATCTCCAAAACCGCTCAATGTATAATTCACAACACTTAAGTGGAAGGAGCGGATCTTCAAATCTGTGGCTCGTGTGTGTGTGTGTGTGTGTGTGCAAAAGGGAGAAGAGTGATCGAACAGAAACAGCTGAGGAAGCAAAGTGCGCGCTGCGTTTCCTCCTCTGCTCCGGCGCTGTATGTGGGGCAGTGCGTCCACCACAGACGGTCCCGTTCGCTTATTAAGGAACTGTGTTATATTCAATGATTCTGCAGCCTTTTTGCTGCTGAGAGGGGGAGTGGGGGGGGGGTGTCTGCTTATCTTGAGCCACGCTTTGCGATCAGTCGTGTTTATTTCTTACTTGTTTTATGTGTGTGTGTGTGTGGGGGGGAGAGGGAGAGGGAGAGGTGGTTGAGATACAGCACTTTGCACTTGTGCGTTTATTCCTCTCACCCCCCAACACCACTGAAAACTTGATGCAATTGCGAGAAAAAGGGGAGTTGGGGGAGTGGGTGGGTGGGGGTCAGGCACCCACCAAAGCATCTACCAGCCCTGCTCTCTTTTACTCGCTGCAACAGATCAAATGAGTTGCTGAGTGATGATTTCCAACCGACACCCCCCCCCCCCACCCCCCCCCACCCCCGACCACCCCCCCACCCCCGACCACCCCCCCACCCAAAAAAAAAATAATATGAATAACGCACAAGTGAATAGCAAAAAAAAAAGAGAGAAGAACCCAAATCACAGCGCCTGCCAACTTCCAATCCATCCACTTGCGACTTCACTCACAGAAGTTACCATGTAAGGCACTTGCTGATCGTAGAATCCGTCCATTCTGCAGCTCATTTGGAAAACTCTTAGGTTGTCTTATTTCTCTGCATTTAGATGGAGACGGTTGTCTTTGACGGACTCAAACGGCCTAAAAACGACAGACAGGGAGAGAGAGAGAGAGAGAGAGGGGGAGAGTGGGAGAGTGGGAGGGAGGGTGAGAGAGAGAGAGAGAGAGAGACAAGATGGCCAAAACAAAATCATGAATGAACTGCCTGAACTTGCATAACTAATTAGCCTTGAGCGCCCCATTCACAAAAAAAAAGAGAGAAGACACGACTGTCGCCCCAACCTGCCCTGCAGATAAGGCTCAGCCTGCAAACTACAGGGGGGGAATCGGCTGATCCCATCCCAGCAATTCGGGGCTGTCAGTGCGTTCGTTGTACGTTTTCGCATCGTTTCGGGAGCGTTTATGCAAACCTCGAGACTACACAGCAAACTCGTAATGGCGATTACCGTGGTATTCCCAAATATTTTCCCCACAGGCAGATAACGGGACCAGAATGGGGAGCGTTTTTTTTTTATTGGTTATCATTATTAGAATTTCTCTTCTCTCGCTGCAATATTGTAAACCACGCAAATGCTCTCGAGTCTTGCAAAAGTTGAACAGGGTCTCACCTGAATGGGTGCAATGCGATCGCCTATAAATATCCCCCGTCAGATTTGGTAAATAGCATGAATTAGTTGATGGAGAGTCCTTTCAAGACAGCCCAGACCTATGATTGTGCTCAATTCACTCGCTTTTCCTTCGCTTCTCCTCCAGGGGCCTCCAGTGTCTCCTAATGCAACTCTCCCATTGGTCGCCTGTCTGTTTCGGCTCCAATTTCTGGCTGTCAATCACTCAGCCCTTCACTTGATTAAAGCTGCAGCTCCCCCCCCACCACCACCACTCCCCCCCCACACCACTCCTTTTCTGTTCAAAATCTAAACCGATCTGCAAATCGGAATTGTCCGGGAAAGAAAGAGAGAGGGAAAAGAAAGTCAGCAAAAAAAAAATGCTTAATGCAAGTTTACAAGACAAGGATTCCCAACACAAAGATCGCTTTCCTTCCCAGATTTAACTTAACAGTGAGCGGTGTGTGCAGTGCGTGTTTACTTTCCTCTCCTGTTACACAATGTAGTTACTGTATCCTTTATTTTTCCCCCAAAGAAAAGCTGTATTCAAAAATCTCTTGTGCAATAACCGATAGATCACGAACTCTCATTAAAACTCCTCCAACAATGTGCATTCAGTGCATCTGCCCTGCAAGAACTTTTAAGAGTAAACGCGTGTTATTGTTATTACATGTTCCAAAAGCTAATGAAAATGCAACGATTGTGAAATGCTCTGATCCACCCAGTCACCGTAAGGTTTTTTTAAAAAAAAAGAGAGAAAAGGGCAATTTACAGACGTTTATTTAGCAAATGCAAAGCTCGTGTGGCGAAAGATCATCCTCCAAAAATAACACAGCATCAAAAAGGTGCAGTCACTTAGAAGTTTGCTTTTTAACTTCATAAATCCCTCCCCCTCCTCTCTTTCTCTCTCTTTCTCTCTCTCTCTCTCTTTCTCTTTCCCAGTGTTTCTTTAACATAATCCGAGCAACAGTTTTAAGACTGCCTGATCAGGCAGGGAAGATGGTTACCGCAGCAACAAGGGGTGGTGCTTTTTGCATGACCAGTTGGATTTGCATGGGTTTTGGTGAGGCAGCCAATAACCTCAGTCGTGTTTCATCTGATTGATGTGTTTATTCATAGAGCAACAGTTTCCCCTCCAGGCAAGAGTGAGCCACAGAGAGAGAGAGAGAGAGAAAGACAGACAGAGGGGAAGTTGTTTTTTTTTAATATATAAAAAGGTCAACACAGAGATCGAGGGGAGGGAGGTTCATTCACAAAAAAAAAGTCCAGATTTAGAGACAAGCGAGCAAGACAGGCAGAGACTGGAGGGAAAGTTCATTCACAAAAATAAAGGGGGGGTCAGAGTTGGAGAGGGTGTAATTGACAGACTGAGAGGGAGGGGAGTTTCATTCATTCACAAAAAAATTATCCCAAACTGAGAACAAACTGGAAGGAAAGTTCATTCACAAAAAAAAAACTGTTGTTCCAAAAAAAAAACATGTTAAAAGAAGCAAAACACAGAGGTCGTTTTTTTTTAAAAAAAAGTTTAGAGAGATTGAAAAGGAAGAAAACTCATTTTCTTTTTTTTCATTTCCAAAAAAAAATGAAAGCAAAGCGACACAAAGTTTGCAGAGAGTTTTTCTTTCTCTGCTGCTGCTATAAAAAGCGGCTGCATCCAATCCAAGCAAAATTATACCGTATTTCAAACTGAGAGGAAGGAAAACTTGAGATAGTTTGTGAACAAAATCGAAAAAGTTGAAACTTAACCATTTATTAATGGTTAATGTATTGATGGTTATTTACTCTCCATGTACAAATATGTACATCTCTACACGCAGTACAGTATTTGCATGAAGCTAACGCATTTGAACGTTATTCATTATTCAACAGTGTGATGAACATTATTTACAGCACAAAATAAGTAGATATAATTTTGTCTTTCGAGTTTTCTGTTGATACCGCTTCTCTCCTGAAGGTGGCGTGTCATGCTGGGGTACTCTTCTAAAGGTGCCAACAAGCTCTTTGGTAGCTCACCCAAATTAACCCTAACAGACTACCAGCTTAGAAGAGGAACATGAGAACCAAGCCCTCCCCTGCCCTCCCATGGCAATGTAAACCTGTCACACTGATATAAGACCAGTGCAAGCATTTAGTCCACGCAGTACATCAGCACCATCACAGGGCACAGCAGTGCTGTCTACCTTCCATCTAAGTGTTAGTTTTTTCTTCACCTGAAGCCTATGTTAATGGTAATTGTAATCCTACCAGTATAAAGTTCTGGTAAACTGCAGAGTGGTATTAGTACATGGAAATAACTCTTTGAATAGTTTTACCTAAAAGTATGATCGAAGTAGATGCATCAGAGTTGCAACTCTAGAACTCTTTGTAAGACCGTTTAAGCTGAATCTAAGTCAGTTCTCTCTCTCTCTTGCCAAAGAGGCATTGAGGCCAATTATAGCATCCCAATCGCCACCCTGGCTACCCCACCTTAGCAAAGACCAAGAATTAAACTTAGTATCTTCCTGATCCTCAGCACATCATTTACCCATTTACAAACCCACCTCAATTGAAGCTCTTGTTTTGAGGCAGAATGCTTCCCACAGCTTGGTCCCCATTTGGAAGTGTTACCAAGTTCTTTCATTGCTGCACCTCATATGTGAATCACCAGTCGAAGGTATGCAGCATCTATGCATTGTGACCACGACTGATACCAGAATGGAGCATTGCGATCATGGGGGCACTGGAGAGGAAATTCATGTGAAAATGGTGAGACTGAGGGAAAGGAATACATTATATCGAACATTTATATGTGAAAGAAAGAGAGATGCAAGAAAAGATAATTTTTTTAAAAAAATCCTTGCATTTTATATACAGTTGCGCCTTTGGAACATTTTAAAGTGCTTCATAGGATTTTACTGTAAAGTGGAGAAACTGTCTATTTTGATGGTGAACTTGGCAGCCAATTTGCACACAGCCATGTCCTGCAAACAGCTGTGAAATGAATGACCATTTTTATCTGGTGGATTCTTGATCAGGACACCATGAGACTTTTATCACCACTTGAACAGGCAGATGGGACCTCAGTTTACCATCTCACCTGAAGTACGGCATCTCCAACAATGTAACAGATCCTCAACACTACATTGAAACACTTGCCTAGACCTTGAGGTTAAAGTCCCGACATGGGGCTTGAACCAACAATCTTCTGACTCTGAGGTGAGGCAACTGATCCTACAGACAGCTGAAATCCTAAAAACAGAATTCAGCAAAGACACTTGAACTACATAGCCATGCTGGAGGGCTCTATTATATATTTAATCATGGAATAAAATATTAGATGGGCATAATCTTGGGAGTAAAGGAGCTAGTGAAACCAAGAGACATGATATTATTTTACTAAAACATCAGTGGACATATATAAGCCAAGTCCAAAGTAATTCTTGCATCACTCACTCACTAACTTAGAAAATATCTAAAACTCTGAGCGATCTGAAATTCAGACTATAAAATCCACGTCATTGGGTAAATATATTTTGAAGCAATTTTTTTTCCCAGATGTGAAACTTTACAACCCTCTACTCGGGTCTAAATCCCTGACTGTCCAGTGCCTTGGGACATGCTCCCTACGTGAAAGAGGCTATACAAATGTAAGTTGTTGTTTGCATGGTGCTACTTTGACAAAAGTTGCCGTTATATAGTATTGCTTTAAAATGTTCTTTTTCACCCCAATGTGGATAAGAGTTTATTTGCAGACGTGTGTGGATTGGTGCTAACACTTGATAATGGGATTTGAAACTTTGAAGCACACTGAGGTACATCACCAAATTACTGCCCTGAATTTGCGTATATTTGTAGTGTAACCTCATGCTGCTATAGTAATCAACTTTGGCCAGAGAGACTTGCTAGTAAACAGCACTAGAGTTAAAGCAGCTTTTCCCCCATTCAATCAAGATTTGGTTTTATTATAAAGTTAAATCTTCCTAAAGGCCGCTTGGAATGCCTGTCCCATTGGTGTCCGTAATTTTGTTTCATTGTAAATTAGATTGATCATATCACTTTTTGGCTGGTCAGAAGTCCCATTATCATACGGCTGATTTAAGGCCGGCACCCAATTATATTATCTTTAAAATTACATTGGTGGTGCTTCCCACTTTACATTAATGTGTAGTTTCCCCATCTCCAATCCCTCTGAAGCAACATAGAATTCCTGCATTGCGCCTAATAGTGGGGAAGAAGATTAAAGTGTGCTGTACAGCGCTAAACAGCTTAAAAGGGCACGTCAAAGCTTTTGCTCATTCTGTGACCTGCATAAGTCACTGCTATCAGTCTTTTAATGGACTCTGAACTTTTCAAACCACCTCCAATAAGTCTCTCACACTCTGGGCAGACTCTGATTTGATTTTTTTTAAAAAAGAAAAAAACCTGCTCCTTTTATCTGCTGTTGCTCGTCTGCAGTGAGCGTCACCTGCTTTCACTACGATGTTGCTGAAAACCACTCAGCTTGGCTTTGTGATTACTTTCCTCAACTCTACAGCACAAGATACAGCGAAGGAAAAACGCTCACAAAAAAACCACTACATTCCTTATCTGGGAAAAGAAAAATCATTTCACTTTGTGTTTTTAATCTCAAGCGTCCCAGTGCTTCACGCTATGAAATAACAATTTAATTTGACAGCAAAGACTCTATTTATAACCAGGCCTAGTGATATATTGTCAGAGTAAGTAAGATCTGTGCCTTTTCTGATGGGTGACACATTTTATTTCTATGTATTTATTTGTAACAACTTGACTGCTGTGTTAATAGAATAGAGACAGCAGTAGAAGTCCCAGTAGAGATTGACTTCCAGCAGCACAGAATTAGTTACTGCTTGTACTGCTGAGGGAGGGGGAAGAGGGGAAATTCTGCTGCCTGACTCAAACCTTCTCTGTGAAGGGCTTTGCCCAGCACCTAGAGCATTATTGCACTCCCATTGAAATCTGACTGTAAACTGGGATTCCATCGTCAACTGCTTTACAATCACATGAGAACGGGCTTCGTGTATCATCAAATCAGCGAAATTAGACCTGTTTTTGTTTGCTATACTGATCTTACTTTTTACTTTTGTTTATACAACTCTTGGAATTCGACATGCTGTCTGGAAAATTGATCAAAATACAAATTAGTCGTCAAAAATCTTTTTTACATGCAACTTTTTTGTTGTGAAATTGTGAGCCTTGGCAATAATGGTGCGTGGTCGAGAAGTCATGGTTACATTTTAAAAAAATAAACTTATATACCAT